CTTGGAAATCCTTCTATACTGGCATATCTTGGGTTAAATCTGTTTCTCTAGTAAACACTGACTGATACACCAGCAATGACCTCATTAACCCTTGAAAGGCTCCCACATGGTTTTGTAAGTTTCCAAAGAGCACGTCACCGGGAAGAATTTTGCCCAAGCTGTGGGTCCCTAGACAGGGTTACTGTGTGAACTATGCTGGGCAAACCAGGATCTTGAGCACCTCACCTGAGAAGCAGAGCAATCCCAGAAAGCCTCAGCATACGGGACTTAGGTGAACAGAAACTTCTGCTGAGCCCTAACCTGAGCAGGGCTGGGATGGCCAAGACCAACCTTGAACCCTTCCCCAAGCATAGCCAGTCTCCTTCCGACCAGGCCTCGGGCTCCAGGCTCACAGCAGCTGTGCGCTGGCCCAGTCCACTGGTGGGCACTCACAGCACACATGACACAGAGGGCTGTTTGTACCATCGAAAGCTCTAAAAGTTTCTCTAGCCCTGGCTAGTTCACGCTGATCGAGGAGGTCAGAGAGGCCAGACTTGTCCCCTCCACCACGGCCACACTCCACTTGAAGTGTGTGGCAAGGACATCCTGCTGGTGGCTGTTCCGAAGTCCTCCCTTCCCAACGCCATACCCTGCCCCCTCCCTCTTTCCCCTGTCCTTACAGCTGGAGCCAAGGTTACCACTCAGTACTGGCAGCGGCTGACTTGCACTGCCCCAGACCTTTGCTCCTCCAGGCTGCACCCCTCCAGAAGGGAGAGGCTGTTTGCCCTCCTCCACACCTCCTGGCCGCTTAGCCACTAGGATGTGAGTAAGGCCAATCAAACCACAGGTCTATCAACACCCAGAGCCAAAAGGCAGGCCTGAACTAAAGGTTGAACAGCAGGTAAGTTTCTCTAGGTGAAGGCAGAGCATTGTGTTATCTGTGTCCTTTATGGGCCCCAATGAAGGTGTGCTCCATCCCCTACTTGGTAAACTTCCCAGCACTGTGCGTGACTTCCTAGGCCATGGACGAGCCAAAGAGTGAGTCAATATGTTAACTGTGCATAGCCTTTGATTCCCCCACCTCCTGTCCCTTTCCATCCAAAGAGGAGGTGCCTCTCTAACCGTTAAGGCTTGGGAAAGACTTCCCCACTCTGGGGAGACCTCCCTGTGCAAGGCAGACCTTTAGAACACAGCCGAGGTTCTACTGAGAGTTTTGTCATTGCAGTTGTAGGCCTTTTCTCCGATATTCCTTCTCATGTGCCTTTTGTCTTTCTAGAACCCACTGAATGTGAGAAACCTGCCACTGTACTGTTTTGTGTCCTGAGTCAAACACTTGCCCCTCCAGCTTCCCGGTCCCACAAGGGTGCTCTTCTCCTGCCTCTCTGTCTCCAGCAGCCCTGATCTTCCATTAAGCTATTTTTCTCTGACAAAACAAATATAGCTAAGTACAGTCTCTGAATCTCTACTGTACACAAAGACAGTCTCTCACCATGACAAAGAAGTGACAAATGACACACGAATCTTTTGTGGTGCAATCCTTTTTCTCTCAGTGTTGTTCTTTTCACTTCTAGATCCCCCAAACCCATGTCAAAGCCAGACCATGCCTTCTCTTGGACTCTCTTAAATCGGTGATTTCTATCTTTACTCTTTTTTTGTGTGGTGCCTGAGATCAAACCCCAGGGTCCTGTACCACTGTGCTACATGCTTAGCTCTTTTGATTTTGTTTTGTGACAGCAAGGTCTTGCTAAATTGTCCAGACCGGCCTTGAAACAGTGTTCATCCTGTCTCAGGCTCCCAAGTTCTTCGGATAGAGGTACCTGTCAAATATTTTTAGTGCTGGGCATTTAACCAGGGGGTTATTAATGCACCCTCCCCCTAAGATCCATTCTAAGTCCTATTTTTAAAAATTCGGATGTAAATCTTCATTCTATTTTTCCTCATCTTTATTCTTGAAGTTCAGGACTTTGACCGAGAGGGTTGGAAATGGGACAACTGGCACTGGAGGAGTGGAGGTACAGAGAAGCACTTTGGAACTCGCAAAGGGGCAGAAAGAAAATAAACAGTAACTTTCCAAACTGCAAATGTCACACAAAAGAAAATGTCAACGTAAATGAGACATAAAATGAACGGGGAGAGTTACATCAAATCCAGCCACTGGTAAATTCAAGCATGCAAGATGAAGCTTTTACAGCAATCCATCTGACCGGAACAAACTTATCAACTCCATGTTTAAAAAAAAAAACAACTCAAAGACAAAGGTGCACTAAGGAGGTACTCGGGTAATGTAAATACAGTAATATAAGGTAGAGATATTAATACCTAATGAGTGGAGCTTCTGATGGAAACCGTGAACAAGGCAGAGACGGATGCTACCAGGTTCAGTTTGCACAAATATGTTCACATCAAAGCCTGCTTGCACCCACAAGGCAGCAATCAATACGCTGAGTGGTTCAGCACACAGTTCAGACCAATTCATGGGCAGGGGATAGAATTACATCAGTAAGTGCCATAAAGGCAGTTCATAAAATTGAGTCTTCTCTCTCCTAAATATCCTAAGGTGATGAAGGAAATGATTGAAATAAAGACTACTTGATCCAGACAATGGCAAGCAATGCAAAAATGATAAAATCAAAATCAATCTGCATTCAAATCAGCAGTCAGACAAGAATCTCTGCTAGGACGAGAATCATTCAACTGTTCTCAGAAAGTCTAGAAGATTCAATCACCCTGATTTTTGGCGTGGAACTCAGAACGGAAGATTCTAAAGTTCCCTTATAAGACAATCATTACAGGTTAGTTTTTTCTTTATTTATGAACAACAGGCAGGTAGGGTGGCACACACCTGCAATCCTAGCACTCTGGAGGGGTGAGACAGCGGGCTTGCAAGTTTGAGCTCATGCTGGGCACCTTAGCAAGTTTGAGAGACACTGTCTCCCACAAACATTTCAATGAAAAGCCATTTTTTGACCAGATAGTGACATAGAGAGCATTTGGCTATTGATGGAAAAAGTAGCACAATCACAGTGGTAACATAGACCTAACAAGAATGAGTCAG